CAAACAGCAGAGAGAAATGATATCAAATTGTTAATGCTTGAAATAGCAAATTTAAGTTTAAAAGGGCTTGAAATTTCAAAACAAAAAAGGGAGAAATATATATTCCATTAGCAGTGATGTAGTAGGCCTGACCACATTTTAGACGACAAAGTCAGTTTTTGTAAGCACCACATGATGCCGAATGTGTCCTAATCAGGTCTTAATCGAGAATTGGAAAAGGCAACATTTGTAGCAAGATTAATCTGAAACTGCTCTCTTTGGATGAACATCCAAGGATGGTCGCTTGCATCATCATCCCTTTGCATCATCTAAATCTCCATTCTGTATCTTCTACAGGTACTTCCTAGATTACAACAATCCTACCAGATTAAATACAGCTAGTGCTTTTGGCACATATTTGCTTTTGGCATACTCTATGTGTGTGCTTATTCCAAAAGAATATAATTAATTTTTTAATAATAAGTTATTGTATGTATGTAGAATCATATTTGCTTTTGGCATACTCTATGCGTGTGCTTATTCCAAAAATATATAATTAATTTTTTTATAATAAATTATTCTACGTAGAATCATGTTAGAGCATGTATGTTTTTTTTCCAGAAATCTATAAGTGCTGCTCTTTTTTATTTAAGGAGTTATTATATTTAAAATCATGGTAGAGAAAAAAAGAGGGATGTGAGTAATTGTAGATAAAAATTAAATCATGATTGGAAAAAAGAGAGAACTTGAGTAATTTGAAAACTAACTTTAGGGAGTATTTTTGGTATAACATTAAAAGGAACCCTCTCCTATTTTATATAACATAGATATCAATCTGAGACCAAAGATGTTGGTCAATATTATGCCTGCATCACTGCATGAATTTTTATGTGTACATTTCAATCATATACATATATAAAATATTCCCCTCCACACTTTAGCAAATGTCACGTAGCACATCCTTTGCCTCTTGTGCATGTAATATTTTTCACCAAACAATCATGCACAATGAATTTAGCTAGTATACTATTACTTTCTTGTCAACATTAGCATTATGGGAAGTACATGGTGTGTCATAATTAACTGCCTCAACATTAAGTAGCACAAATGAAAGCGTGAAGCTCTTTATTTTATTGCATCATACAAATCGATTTTTTTTTTCTTTCCCTGCAGAAAAATGACATGCCTGTAATCGTAGACTCTGTACGGATGGTGCAGGTGACAAGGCAACTTGTTTTTTTGGCTATGGACAAGGCGCCTTGTGCTTTCCAAATTCAATGCAAAGATATTAGATCATGTTGAGGTAATTGATACACAAACACATAAAAGAACGGAAATTCGTATTGCGCAAATTTCACTGAGAAAGTGAGGCTGAAAATGATGATCTTGACACATATTTGATACTATCCTTGAGATGTTATTTGCTTTCACTATATAAAGTAAAGTATTTGTTACAAGGTTTACCTCTAAAATACAATAGGATTTAGAGAATCTTGATATCAAATCTAAAGTTTTCCTTTACAAGGAAAAGTTCAAAATTCTTTGATTTGCTAGAAACTTGTCATTTTTATAGTAAAAGACATAACTCAAGAGTTGCAGATTAATCGACCACTATCTCTCACATTTATAGGCATTAAGAGACAGCAATTAAGTTCCTTCAATGGATAGAACATGCCAAAAATGTTTCATAAATTTTTTGGCTTTTAAGAAGAATCCACAAACGGATCCACTTCCTATCGCTGCAGATCCGGTCGCAGATCCATTGTGTTGACTTACCCTTTGTTTAGATATGTCAAAATTTTTTTACTTTCCTCATTTTTTTTGGTTGATAGGAGGGCTTTAGACCCATTACATAGCAACTAATCTAGGCGTAGTAACACCTACTACATCATATGCCAACCACTTCCTCAACTCTGTAGGAGGAGATGCTAGCTCTTGGACTCCCGCCTCCATATTCAAAGCACTCTTAGCTAACCAGTCCGCACTCAAGTTACCCTCCCTCCATTGATGAGTTAACTCACATTGCCATTGCCTATCCCCTAAGCTCCGGATTCGATTGACCTGTACCAGAAGGGGGCTCTTCGTTGGCGCTTTGTCAATAGTCTCTAAACTCACTTTAGAGTCCGTCTCAAGACCACTCTCTTGAACCCCTTGTCCCATGCTGTCTTCATTCCAAACCAAATAGCCCAAAGTTCAGCTTCAACAATGGTCCTATGTCCTAAATTTGCCTGAAATCCGCAAATCCACATTCCATACTCATCTCTTAATAGCCCTCCAGCCCCTGCAATACCATCCCTGGAGCTAACCGCCCCGTCCACATTAATCTTTATCCAACCTTTCCCCGGCTTACTCCACCCAATGTTTAGAAGTTGCCTGTCCTTGCTCCTAGTTTCCCTTTCTAGTGCTAGTTGATTAGCTTCCAACACCGCAACAACAATTTTCTCTAGTGTGTCGATTTTACTACTGTCATTCACGATGTCAAAACTATTCCGGCCTTCCCATATTAAATATACAACCTGTTGGAACACTACCCGCCAGTCCAGATGATCCCATCTGCCTAGATCCCTTCTTTTCAGGTTCCAATCTAACCACTCCTCGGCACACTTATTGTTAAATGTCTCCCAATAATTCGGATGAACTAGGCTGAACCATATCTTCCGAGCCCAGGGACAATCCCTTAGTGCATGGAGCTGCGTTTCTGGATCCTGCCCACACAATTTACAGTAACTTACCTCCTGCGGGTGCCTTCGCTTCTTTTCTGCATTAGTTAAGAGCCGTTGGTGTCTAGCTAACCACAATAGGAACTGCCATCTACCCGGTCCTCTTTGCTTCCAAATTTGAGTCCATCCATGTTGGTCAGCCCGTATTTCTACATTACATTCTAGCTGATATGCCGATCTTGTTGAAAACACCCCTCTAGGATCTGGAATCCACACTGGCAAGTCCTTGTCAGGGCCTTCCTCCGTTAACTGGACTTTCAATAGTTTACGTAACAATTGGTTAGACAAGAAAGGTTTCAGCGCATCCATATTCCATCCCTCCCCAATAACCCAGTACTCTTTAACTTTCTTGTGCAGCTCACCCGTCGGAATTGTTACTGCACTCATGTCCATTAACGGTTTTCCTAACAACCATGCATCCTTCCAAAAGCTAACATCCACTCCATTGACCACTGTCCACCTCACTCCTTTCCTCATCACCTTCTGTCCCTCCTCGATACTCCGCCTGACAAAGGATTTCCTCCCGTCCCCTCCCGAGTCCTTGTACTTGCTGCTCAGGACCTTTACCCACAGCGACTCCTTCTGGTGCAGAGCTCTCCAGCTCAACTTGGCAAGTATTGCCCTATTGGTCTCCCTCATTTTCCGTATCCCAAGTCCTCCTTCTGTTTTATCCCTTGTCACAGTATCCCAGCTCACATGATGGATTTTCCTGCGTTCCGTAGAATCACCCCACAAAAAATCCCTTGCACACCTCTCTACTTCATCTAGCACCGAGCAGGGTAACATAGCTGTCTGCATCGAGTACACCGGAATTGTGGATAGTACAGCCTTGATTAGCGTTACCCTACCAGCAAAGGATAGCACCTTCTTTTGCCAGCCTGCTAGACGTTTTTTTATTTGGTCCACAACTGGTTGAAAGGTACTCTTCGTCACTCTCCCATGCAGAAGAGGCACACCCAAGTATTTCCCCAAATTATCCGTGACCTCTATCCCAAACTTCCCCTTTATCAACATCTTCCTATTCCAAGATACATTGCTAGAGAAGAATATCTTTGTTTTGCTAACATTAACTCTTTGCCCCGACATCTTGCAAAAATTGCCCAACGTTCTCCCCACTACCTCTGCTTGATCCACACTTGCCTCTGCAAACAACAATAAATCATCTGCAAAACATAAATAAGCTACTCCTGGGCCACTTCGCATTACTTTAACTGGCCTCCAGTCCTTCATTTCTACCGCTTCCTTGATCATATGACCCAACCTCTCGATACACAAAACAAACAAATACGGTGATAACGGGTCACCTTGTCGAATCCCTCTCGTTGGTTTAAAAGGTTCTAACTTCTCTCCATTCCACAAGACTTGCATGGCACTTGCTTGCACACAGTTCATAATCAGTTCATTAAGCCTCTCCGGAAATCCTACAAGCCTCAAAGTCTGATGTATAAAGCTCCATTGCAATCTATCATAAGCCTTCTCCAAGTCCACCTTTATTACCATTCCTCCTTTTTTTCCCCTCCACTTGCTCATTGTGTGTAGTATCTCCTGAGCTATAATAATATTATCAGCTGCTTGTCTGCCCGGAATGAAGCTACATTGATTCTGCTCAACTAGCTCAGAAATCAATGGTCGAATCCTGTCGACTATAATCTTCGTTACCACCTTATAGGGAACATTACATAACGAGATGGGTCTGAATTGGGATACCATTTCTGGAAATTCTACTTTTGGTATTAAGGAGATGAGTGTGTTGTTGACATTCTCCGGCATTACCCTCCCTTCAAACACCTCATGTACAAATTTAACCATTTGGCCCTTTACTAATGTCCAGTGCTTTTGATAGAACCCCGCATTTACTCCATCCGGCCCTGGTGACTTATTAGGACTCATGTTGAAAAGCGCTTGTTTGATCTCATACTCACACACTTGTCTCCCCAGTGCTTCCAGCCTCCTATTCTCCAATTTAGGAAATAAATCGATTATGGGATATCCTCCAGTTTCTCCCACCCCCTCCTCCTGATAGAGGTTACGAAAATAATCACGCACCATCCCCTGTAAAATCTCTGGATCATCATGCCACGTACCATTATCATCCCGTAAACTAGTAATTTGATTCTTTCGTCTTCTAACGATTGTGGACATATGAAAAAACTTTGTATTCCGATCTCCCCCCTGCAACCATTCTATCCTAGACCTTTGTCTCCAATATATTTCCTCTTGTTCTAAAATTTGATTATACTCATCCAACAGCTTCACCTCTAACTTTTCCAGCTTGCGCGAATACCGAATGCACAAATTTTTTTAAACGCCTTCCAATCTCGTTTTACATCTCTTTTTCCGGTGAAAAATATTCCCAAAGACTAATAAATTCCATTCCTTAAGTCGCATTCTTAACATCTGCAGCTTCTTTTCTAATGTCTCCTCGTTACCTTGCCAAGCCTCCGCAACTACCCTTTCATATTCCGGATGCGCGGACCAAGCTTGTTCCAGTCTGAAAGGTTTTTCCCCGTTAGTTCTTCGTGGGACTCCCTCCAGGCAGACCTGCAATGGATGATGGTCTGAGTGAGTACGGACCATATGCTTGACCACTGCCTCCTGAAATTGCGCTCTCCACAAATTATTGCATAACGCCCTGTCCAGCCGTTTCCTAACACTCCCAATCCCCTTCCTACAGTTACTCCAAGTAAGTGAGGGACCACTACAGTCCATATCCATTAAACCACCTTGCAAAAGTATCTGAGCAAGACTTGATTGACTTGCTCTTCCTAGCGGTCGGCCACCCTGTTTCTCTTCTGAACTAATCACCTCATTAAAATCCCCTACTACCATCCACGGAAAGTTAATAGATTTATCTATATTTGAAAAATACTCCCATAGAGATCTTCTTGTAGGTGGATCTGGTGACGCGTATACTGCTGATAACATCCACTCCTCTCCTCTCACTCGTTTGACTAGCATATGAATAACTTGTCTATTCCTGGTTATTACTTCTACCGCCCATTTGTGCTTGTTCCAAAGCACCCAAATACCACCTGAAAATCCACAAGTCTCAACACAAGTTTTATCAGTAAGTTGCGAACTCTGGACAATCCAATCTGCTTTCCCACTATCTGTCCTCGTTTCCACTAGTATGAGAATGCTTGGGTCATATTCCCTTAGAATCTCCTTTAAATTCCTTCTGAAATTCGCATTTGCCGCACCGCGGCAGTTCCTGTTGAATTCAAAACCTTGAATTCAAAGCCTCAATTGTTTACTTTTACAAGCCAACAATTGTTGAAATTGGTGGCTTAATTCTTAATCCCACATTGGTTGTTTTAGGAGTTGTAGGATTGCTTGAGAGCTATTTTAGGAGTTGTAGGATTGCTTGAGAGCTATAAATAGCTCTCAAGCCTTCCAATTGAATTGTACCAAGAACAACAAAGAATTACTCATAAGAATTTTGTAATTCTTTGTATTCTTTCTTCTCTCCTAAATTATAAAAGCGGCTACTTGAGTGGTGCTCGGAGAGTAGGCAAAATTGGCCGAACTCCGTTATCAATTTTTCGGGTGCGTTCTTTCCTTATCTCTTTTATTTGTTCCGCATTATTTATTAGTTTCTTTTATATTGTAGTATAGTATTCAATATATTTGTCTATATTTGTCGGGTTTATTTGTAGTGTTTTATACGATTCATTTGGGTGTATCTTTCTTATTCGTGTATACGTATTATTTATGTATACACGGGTATAGTTGTGATAATACACCGTGCACGTAAGTTCTGTCTAGGAGACTGGGTTTTAAGTGGGACCGCTTGTGACCCCTCCAGCCTTTCCTGGGAATTTACTTGGAATGGTAATTTTGTCTAAGGAGATTGTTTCGACAATCTTTCCTGAGAATTACTGAATCGGTTTAATCACTAGTTGTATTCTTGAGTGGGAAATTACCCGATTTTCCCAACAAGTGGTATCAGTGCCGAAGGTTCGTCCTTTGGCTTGTTTGTAATTTATTATATTGAATACTATCATTTGAGTCTGTAATGGCATCTGACAATTCTACGTCAAAAATTATATCTGGGGCATCGGCTTCCTCGTCCACATGGTCGAGAATTCCAATGTCAAGTTTGAAGGTGGCGGTGGAGACATTTGACGGTACTGGCCATTTCGGCATGTGGCAAGGCGAAGTCATGGGTTCCCTTTTCCAACAGGGTCTTGACATTGCCATTGAAGAAAAGAAAACAGATGACATAGAAGAGAAGGAGTGGAGTACCATAAATCGGTTGGCATGCGAAACTATTCGATCGTGTTTGTCCAAAGAGCAAAAATATGCTTTCAAGAACGAGACTTCTGCATGGAAATTGTGGAGGGCATTGGAGGAGAAATTTCTGAAGAAGAGTGGTCAGAATAAACTCCTAATGAAGAAAAGATTGTTCCGATTCGATTACCAACCAGGTACTACTATGAATGAACACATCACTATGTTTAATCAATTAGTAGCAGACCTGTTAAATTTAGATGTAAATTTTGAAGATGAAGATTTGGCTTTGATGTTGTTGTCATCCCTTCCTGATGAATTTGAACATTTGAAAACTACGTTACTTCATGGGAAGGAGAATGTGTCTTTAGATGCTGTATATTCTGCTTTGTATAGTCGTGAATTGAGAAAGCAGGATAAAATGAAAAAGAAAGTAGCTGCAGCAGATGAAACGTTAGTGGCAAGAGGTCGTCAACAAAGCCAATCAAAGGGGAGAAGAGGAAGGTCCAAATCGAAAAGTAGAGTTGCCAAAGATGAGTGTGTTTTCTGTCGTGAGAAAGGGCACTGGAAGAAAGACTGTCCAAAATTAAAGAAGAAAGGGAAAGCTCCGCAAGACGTAAATGTTGCAGAATGCAAAAGTGATGCGGAATCATATTTCTCTTTGGTTGTATCACCTTTGACATCCCATTCAGATGAGTGGATTTTGGATTCAGCTTGTACCTACCATATGTCTCCCATGCGGGAGTGGTTCTTTGAATTTGAAGAATTTGATGGTGGAGTTGTGTACATGGGAAATGACAATCCATGTAAAACAATTGGAATAGATTCAATCAAGCTGCGTAATCATGATGGATCCACTAGAATCTTGAAGGATGTTCGGTACGTGCCGAATTTGAAGAGGAATCTCATCTCCTTAGGACTCTTGGAGTCAAAAGGCTTGGAAGTGAAGATGCGAGATGGAATTCTTAAAGTAACTTCAGGAGCACTTGTGATGTTGAAAGGTGTGAGAAAGAATAATCTGTATTACTATCAAGGTAGTATAGTTATTGGGACAGCAGCAGCAACAACATCTTCCAGTAGCAAGAAGGATGCGGAGGCAACAAAGTTGTGGCATATGCGATTGGGACATGCTGGTGAAAAATTCTTGCAAAATCTTGCCAAGCAAGGATTATTGAAAGGTACGAAAGTTTGCAAATTAGAATTTTGTGAGCATTGTGTTCTGGGAAAATAAAGAAGAGTGAAATTTGGCACTGGTATCCATAATACCAAGGGTATTTTGGATTATGTGCACTCAGATGTATGGGGACCTGCCAAGACTCCATCTCTTGGTGGCAGGTATTATTTTGTCACTTTTATTGATGATTTTTCCAGAAGAGTTTGGGTGTTTACTTTGAAGAGCAAGGATGAGGTGCTAGGAATTTTCCTTAAATGGAAAGCTCAGGTTGAAAACCAGACGGGAAGAAAGATCAAGATCTTTCGAATAGACAACGGTGGAGAATACAAGAGTGATCCCTTCCAGAAGATATGCCAAGAATGTGGCATAGTTCGGCACTTTACAGTTAGAAAAACACCGCAGCAGAATGGGGTGTCAGAGCGTATGAACAAAACACTAGTGGAGAAAGTACGTTGCATGCTGTCTAATGCTGGGTTAGGCAGAAAGTTTTGGGTTGAAGCTGTGACATACGCTCAAGATCTCGTTAATCGCTTGCCATCATCTGCAGTCGGTGGCAAGACTCCATTAGAGGTATGGTCTGAAAAACCTGCAACAGATTATGATTCTTTGCATATTTTTGGTTCTACTGCATATTATCATGTAAATGAATCAAAATTGGATCCACGTGCAAAGAAGGCTTTCTTTATGGGCTTTAGTACTGGAGTTAAGGGATACCGTTTGTGATGTCTAGAAGCAAATAAGACCATTATCAGCAGGGATGTTACCTTTGACGAATCTGTCATGTTGAATAAGGTAACACAAGATGGGACCAATGGTACTCCGCAACAGGTGGAGGGTACGCCGAAACAGGTGGAGTTTGAGCAGATAATGGTGAGTCCAACAAACAGCACCTTCAGTGACGCTTCCATGACAGAAGAAGAGTCAGATGAGGAAGAGGTTTCAACCCAAGAACCTCAACAGCAGCAAGAATCAATTGCCGTCAATAGGGCAAGACGAGAAATTCATAAACCTGCTCGTTTTGTTGACATGGTGGCTTATGCACTTCCAGTTATTGATGATGTTCCATCCACATTTTCTGAAACAGTTCGAAGTACAGAAAATGATAAATGGAAAGATGCTATGGAAGAAGAGATGCAATCTCTTCAGAAGAACAAGACGTGGAAGTTGACACAACTACCGAAGGGCAAGAAGGTAATTGGATGCAAATGGATATTTGCAAAGAAAGAAGGATTTTCTGACAAGATTGATGTTCGCTACAAGGCAAGATTGGTGGCTAAAGACTACGCTCAGAAGGAGGGAGTTGATTATAATGAGGTATTTTCTCCAGTTGTTAAACATTCCTCTATTAGAATTTTGTTGGCCTTGGTAGCACAGTTGAATTTGGAGCTAGCTCAACTTGATGTGAAGACCGCGTTCCTTCACGGTGACTTGAAGGAGGAAATCTATATGGCTCAGCCAGATGGATTCAAAGTTGCTGGTAAAGAAAATTGGGTTTGTAAGCTGAGCAAATCGTTGTAAGGATTGAAACAATCACTGAGACAATGGTACAAACGATTTGACCAGTTCATGATGGGCCAGAAGTACACAAGAAGCAAATACGATCACTGTGTGTATTTACGCAAGTTACGAGATGAGTCCTACGTCTACTTACTCTTGTATGTTGATGATATGCTGATAGCATCAAAGAGCCAAGTTGAAATTGACAAATTGAAGGTTCAGTTGAATAAAGAGTTCGAGATGAAGGATTTGGGAGAAGCCAAGAAGATTCTCGGCATGGAGATAAGCAGGGATAGAACGAGAGGCAAGCTTTGTCTGACACAGAAGCAGTATTTGAAGAAAGTACTAAAACGTTTTGGCATGAATGAAAATTCAAAACTTGTAAGTACTCCACTTGCTCCTCATTTGAAACATAGTAGCCTATTATCTCCAAACACGGATGAGGAGCGAGCATACATGGCGAAAGTCCCGTATGCTAATGGAGTTGGTAGCTTGATGTATGTAATGGTATGTACGAGACCCGACATTTCACAGGCAGTTGGTGTGGTAAGCAGGTTTATGCATGATCCAGGCAAGGGTCATTGGCAAGTTGTGAAATGGATTCTACGGTATATCCAAAATACCGTAGATGTTGGATTAGTATTTGAGCAGGATAAATCACTTGGTCAATGTGTAGTTGGATATTGTGATTCTGACTATGCAGGTGATTTGGATAAGCGACGTTCTACAACTGGCTACTTGTTTACATTTGCCAAGGCGCCAGTTAGTTGGAAGTCTACTTTGCAGTCAACGGTGGTTTTGTCAACAACGGAGGCAGAGTACATGGCGATTACAGAAGCTGTGAAGGAGGCAATTTGGCTTCAAGGATTGCTTGAAGACTTGGGAGTTGGTCAAAAACACATTGACGTGTTTTGTGACAGTCAGAGTGCTATTCACTTAGCAAAGAACCAAGTCTTTCACGCAAGAACGAAGCACATTGATGTTCGCTATCACTTTGTGCGGGAAATTCTCGAAGAAGAGGAGATTTTTCTCCAGAAGATTCGGACTACGGAGAATCCTGCAGATATGCTGACCAAGGTGGTTACAAGGTCCAAGTTTGAACATTGTTTAGACTTGGTCAATATCCTGCATATTTGAGTTGGCGCCTGAGGGCTCAAATTTGGAAGCACCACAAGGACCGTTTGTTATTTTTGGGTGGGATTAGAAATTATGCCAAGGTGGAGATTTGTTGAATTCAAAACCTTGAATTCAAAGCCTCAATTGTTTACTTTTACAAGCCAACAATTGTTGAAATTGGTGGCTTAATTCTTAATCCCACATTGGTTGTTTTAGGAGTTGTAGGATTGCTTGAGAGCTATAAATAGCTCTCAAGCCTTCCAATTGAATTGTACCAAGAACAACAAAGAATTACCCATAAGGATTTTGTAATTCTTTGTATTCTTTCTTCTTTCCTAAATTATAAAAGCAGGCTACTTGAGTGGTGCTCGGAGAGTAGGCAAAATTGGCCGAACTCCGTTATCAATTTTTCGGGTGCGTTCTTTCCTTATCTCTTTTATTTGTTCCGCATTATTTATTAGTTTCTTTTCTATTGTAGTATAGTATTCAATATATTTGTCTATATTTGTCGGGTTTATTTGTAGTGTTTTATACGATTCATTTGGGTGTATCTTTCTTATTCGTGTATACGTATTATTTATGTATACACGGGTATAGTTGTGATAATACACCGTGCACGTAAGTTCTGTCTAGGAGACTGGTTTTAAGTGGGACCGCTTGTGACCCCTCCAGCCTTTCCTGGGAATTTACTTGGAATGGTAATTCTGTCTAAGGAGATTGTTTCGACGATCTTTCCTGAAAATTACTGAATCGGTTTAATCACTAGTTGTATTCTTGAGTAGGAAATTACCCGGTTTCTCCAACAGTTCCAACTGATAATATTCATAGAATCACTAACTACTAAGATGTGGGATCCAATCCCTCCTGCTCCTCATGCACATCCTGCTCCTGTGTGTCCATGACATCTGATACATCACGTAGATACCCAAAGCCCTTCCCGTCACTGTGTTGAATACGTGTAGGGTCCCCTGGGTCATCAATCATAACATCTCCCCTGCCTTCTAACTCCTGTTCTTTCCCCCATTTCTTTAGCCATAAGTCCTTCTCCTGTCCGTCCACTCTTCGCTCCAGCACTGAACTGTCTTGCTCCGGAATGACTCCTGCCCTCCCTTCCCTTTGGTTCTCTCGC